CCCCAATATAGCGCTTGTACAAATACTCAACTGTGTAGCTGTTAAATCTCATGGACTTTCTCAGATTCTTGCTGAGATATATCCATACTGTGGTTCTTATACACGACGCCGGGCAATAGGCACTCTAAACCGTGCTATGCTTGAAGATAGACCTCAACCAGGAAATATTGAGATTTGTCATCCTAACACTGTAACAAAGGGACAAGTAGTTATACATGTTTTTGGGCAGTTTTATATGGGGAAGGAGAAAAATCAAAACCTTTATACTAAAAGACTCATACAGCAGTTACAGCAGTCGTGTACTGTTGATGTTGGACCTAAAGGAAGAAATCCTAGACATTTAGAACCTTTCGATCATCAACTTTTATCTGGCCTTTTAAAAGATACATCCCAAAACAGGATTTATTGGTTTAATGAAGGTCTAAATAAATTAGCAGTGCAAGTATCTAATGGAAAATACAGTTTGGTAATTTTTCCATCGTTAATTGGGTGTGGATTGGCTGGTGGAAACTGGGAAAGAGACTACTTACCAGCAATTATAAAATTTTCTAGACAGGTCTACCCCTTTGGTGTCAGAGTTAAAATTATAAAAAAAAATTATGTCAAAGACATCATAACAATGAAAAGAATAGTTAAACCTCCTAAATTATATATATATTTTTTTCATAGGTTCCCCCCTTTATGACAAAAAAAAAAAACAGGACAGTGTCATTAACATAAATAAGACCTCCTCCACCCTCCCTGGTCAATTGTTGTTGTGTGATGATTTAATCCTGACAACAGAATGAACCAGTCAGTGGGTTTAGATATGTTCCCTAAAACTTTATGAACTGATTGTGGTGAGAGAGACCAAACCCGAGAAAAGTGATGTTTTATTTTGTTTATTTTTTTTAGAATAGTTAACTATGGAATAAAGAGCTTTTTTCCCCTTCCTTACAACTCCATTTCTTCCCCCTTTTTTTTTAATTAATATTAATGTTATCTTTCATATTTCTTCTAGGTTTAATATGGAATTATCCCTGGGGAAATGTCCAAAGAGAAGACATTTAAAAAAAATATATACAAAATATCAAATTCAAAAAACTGAAGAGGTTGCCAACTTTTTTTGACTTGCAAGATTTCTCCTACAAGGTCAAGATTACAGCAGAATATCAAAGTGAGAAACATCATAGAAATTATGACAGAAGCAGAAAAGGCATCGTTAACTATTATATTTAATTGTTCACCAAATATCAGATCAATTGATACTGATATAAATCTGTTTTTGTACGAGTGTTTTGAAACTAAGAATAATTCTACAGTCCTGGTTAAAATACCATTTTTGAAAAAATATCAAACAAACCTGGTGTCCAACCGACTCTGGGGACCTGATAATAAGGACGTTGTCATTGATATATCTATTAAACACGGTTCCCTTAAAACTATCAAGAAAAATGTTATTCGTCATCAAATTGTATCTTGCCCCATTTGTTTAGATATGAATGGGTCAGGTGACATGGTTTTTATGTTTGATGATTATATGGTTGGATGTGGTCACAGTATTTGTCCTCAGTGTATGTTTACATTATCCGCCAAAATTTTGTTGGGTAAAAAATCTACAGGGAAATTTGATTATAATAATTATGGCTGCCTTAGATATATGAATAATTCTTATGGGATGTACTCTTTTTTATCAAATATTATCTACAAAGATGAAATAGTGTGTCCACTTTGTAAGCAAATAGTAAAAAGTGTGTTTGTGTTGAATATGCATCATCTAAATTGTAGCATTAGGGAATTTTCTCATAAGTATGCCCAAATCTTATTTTGGGGTAATCAAACTGACAGGCGGTTTTTAGAAGCCGCAACAAGTTTTATATATGGAGTGGAGCAATTGGCAGTCACTGATTTGTATATAGAAAGATATATTATGGAAAACAGTTGGATTTTTGACGAATATGTGACACCAGTTACCCTATACCTTAACTTTAATGAAACACTTTCATAGATGAAACTTGTTTTTAAGAGTTTACAGCCATATTTATTAAAACTAGCCTCAAAAAATTCGAATGATCCATCAAATAGAAAATACTTATTATTCTTTAACCAACTTTGTCATAGAAAGGGGGGTGAACCAATCCTGAGACCAACATTCATTAAATAAAACAATTAAAAAAAATGTTTTTTTGTAAATAAATGTATATGTATGTGTTATTTGTACCTCTGTTTGGGTTTCAATCAGAGGGCATCAATTTCTCAGGCAGCAACAGGTACCACCTAGCGTTCATATTCATATGACAACCCAAGGCCAGCCATCACCACCTCAGTTGCAAGGTCCACCGCAGGTACAGTCACAGTTGCCACCCCAGGCCCCACCTCAGGGCCCACCTCAGGCACCAATGCTGTAAAAACTCTAGTCTGAAAAGTTAAAATGTCATCCTTACCACATTTCCATATCATATTTTTATTCATTTTATATATATTTTTTTTTCTTTTTTTTTTGGATAATGATGATGATGATGATGCTGATGAGGAGGAGGAGGGTGTAATTATTTATACAATACAATACAATACAATTTTATTTAGGTAAGGTACATACATACAATAAATATTTACAAGGATTGTTTGACTTATAGGTATAGCTAGTACATACAATGCCTAAAGCCACTATTACGCAAAGCGTTTCGGGCATGATAAACTTAAATGACAAGCTTAATACTAATTGAGCATAATGAGTAGAATGAAAACAAGAAATGAAAACATAGATGAAAAAGCAGCACAAATACAATTATGTCGACAAACAGCGCTCTTTAAAGAAAAAAAACAGACATTGGTTGACAATAGAAGGGTAAGGTAGGTTACAGGGAATTTATTAGGTATAGCTTCGCTTTTAACTTAAACTGGTTGAGAGAGGTACAGTCTTTAACATGGTTGGGAAGGTCATTCCACATTCTGGGCCCCTTGATTTGTAGAGCATTTCTAGTTTGATTAAGTCGTACTCTAGGAATATCAAAACTGTATTTATTTCTGGTGTGATGCTCATGGGTTCTGATACAACCTTCTATGAAGCTTTTGAGATCAGGATTGGCATTATAGTTTAGCGTTTTATATATGTATAATACACATGAGAGAATGTGCAGTGACTTAATGTCTAACATATTCAGAGATTTAAGTAGGGGTACCGAGTGATGTCTGGGGCCAGAATTGGATATTGTCCTAATAGCAGCTTTGTGTTGAGTAATTAGAGGACGTAAGTGATTTTGGGTAGTAGAGCCCCAAGCACAAATACCATAGTTGAGATATGGATAGATAAGGGAGTAATAGAGAGTCACCAGGGCAGGGCGTGGTACATAATATCTGATCTTAGAAAGAATGCCCACAGTTTTTGAAACTTTTTTTGATATGTTTAGAATGTGTCCCTGGAAATTAAGCTTGTGGTCAATGAGAATGCCAAGGAATTTGCCATCTAATTTGTTACAAATTTGGGTATTGTTTATTTTGAGATTTATTTGATTAGAGGATTTATTGCCAAACAGAATATAAAAGGTTTTGTCAATGTTAAGGGTGAGTTTGTTGGCAGTTAGCCACAGATGGACTTTATTTAGCTCAGTATTTACTGTGGCATTTAGAGCAAGGGGATCCGGACTGGAGTAAATGAAGGTTGTGTCGTCAGCAAATAGAATTGGTTTGAGGTGTTGGGAGGCATTTGGAAGGTCATTAATGTAGATGAGAAAGAGAGAGGGCCAAGTATGCTGCCCTGGGGAACACCAATGTTGATGGGTAGGGTGGGAGAAATTGTATTATTCACAGAAACATATTGGAGCCTGTCAGTAAGGTAGGATTGAGGTATTGTAGGGAGTGTCCTCTGACTCCATAATGATGTAATTTAAGAAGAAGGTTTTGATGGTTGACGGTGTCAAAAACTTTACGCAGGTCCACAAACAACCCAACAGAGAACTCTTTTTATCAAGAGCTGTATGAATCGAGTTAAGCATACTAATAAGTGCATCGTTAGTGCTTTTTTTGGGTCTGAAGCCATATTGGCAAGGGCTAAGTATATTGAGTTTGGCTAGATATGAGTAAAGCTGCTTATAGATTAGTTTTTCAAAAATTTTTGACAAGTTTGGCAGGATAGATATAGGTCTGTAGTTGTTAACATTTGTGGACAGGCGTTACTCTCGCTTTTTTTAGAATATCTGGGAAGGTATGGAGTTCAAGTGACTTGTTGAAGAGCAAAGCAATAGCAGGGGCTAAAGATCTGGAGGCTTTTTTGTAAATTAAAGTAGGTATCTCCTCAAGGGCACCAGACTTGGTTTTAAGGGAAAGGATTATCTCATTGACGTCAGTGGAATTAATAGGCTTTAGGTACAGAGACTGTGGATAGTTACCTGAAAGATAGTCATTAATGTCTGTACTGGAAGATGGAATATCATTTGCAAGGGATGAACCAATGGAAAAGAAGAACCTATTGAACTCAGTAGCAGAATCAGAGGCTGAAAGCTGACCATCGTTATTAGACAGGAGAGTCGGTTTGTTATTTAAAGACTTCTTTGATCCCAATATTTGAGAAATTGTTCTCCAAGTTTGTTTATGTTGCTCTTTATTTGGGTAAATTTATCTTCGTAGTACTTAGTTTTGGCTCGTCTAATTATCTTAGACAGCAATAATGAGTAATTCTTTGAGAATTCTTTGGAGACAATTCCTAACCTATACTTCTTCTCAAGGTCATGTTTTGTATCAAGGTCATTTATTTCTTATGTTTTCTCATTTGAAACTGTGTTTGGTTGAAGTAGTAGCTGGTTAGATACATTATCCAAATCTGTATCTACAGTATTTTTTAGTCCATCTGTGAGCGTGTTTTGACTCAAGGTTGTGCAGTGTGCTCGCAGAGTAAATCAGAATCCTAAAACAAAGAAAAAAAAGTGTCCTTTTTTGTGTAAGTATATGAAACATATAAATAAATAAATAAATAAATAGCATACACCTTAACCTTTTAAGTTAATGTGTTTTTTTTTCAGAAGATGGGTGAGAGGGAAAAAGGTAAGAAGATCTTTATGCAGAGGTGTGCACAGTGTCACACTGTTGAATTAAACGGCAAGCACAAAACTGGACCCAATCTCAATGGCCTCTTCGGCCGCCAAACTGGTCAGGCTTCTGGCTATATTTACACTTATGCCAATAAGGCCAAGAGTATCACGTGGGACAAAGATAATCTGGATATCTACTTGACCAACCCAAAGAAATTTATTCCAGGCACAAAGATGGTGTTCGTTGGTCTTAAGAAGAAGAATGAGCGTGCAGACTTGATTGCTTACCTGGAAACCTCCACCAAGTAGAGCAAGCATTAATATTTTTGTGGTCTCACCACTTTAAATCAATAAATCATCCTGCTATCAAAATTTACTAATAAAAAAAAAAAAAAAAAAAAAGAAGGGCAGTAAAAATTACAAAACGTTGCTCAAAGAGTGGAGGAGACAGCTGGTTGCCCGGAGTAGATGGTAGCAGTGTCAGCTGAATTATATAAATATCAAGTAGTCGCAGGCTACTCTCACATTTTACATCCACTGACGGCCAACCAACACACGCTTTGCTACTCTTCCATCCAATAGAAATTTAGTAGCCACATTCTTACGAATATTTGGAATATTCAGGTGTACAAAGCTTTTAAAACCATGGTATCCATATTTCCCTTTAAATCTTTTACATCTTCGATTACATCAAGATCCCAAATAAAAAAATATGTAGACAAATATTGTTCAGTTGGCATGGATATTACTTTAGAACCATCTATAATTAAATTAATATCATCTAAACACCAAATTGTAAATGTTTATGCTATAAACCTGCCCTGGCGACTCTCTATTACTCCCTTATCTATCCATATCTCAGCTATGGTATTTGTGCTTGGGGCTCTACTACCCAAAATCACTTACGTCCTCTAATTACTCAACACAAAGCTGCTATTAGGACAATATCCAATTCTGGCCCCAGACATCACTCGGTACCCCTACTCAAATCTCTGAATATGTTAGACATTAAGTCACTGCACATTCTCTCATGTGTATTATACATATATAAAACGCTAAACTATAATGCCAATCCTGATCTCAAAAGCTTCATAGAAGGTTGTAACAGAACCCATGAGCACCACACCAGAAATAAATACAGTTTTGATATTCCTAGAGTACGACTTAATCAAACCAGAAATGCTCTACAAATCAAGGGGCCCAGAATGTGGAATGACCTTCCCAACCATGTTAAAGACTGTACCTCTCTCAACCAGTTTAAGTTAAAAACGAAGCTATACCTAATAAATTCCATGTAACCCACCTTACCCCTCTGTTGTCAACCCATGTATGTTTTTTGTTTTTCAAATCATCGCTGTTTGAATGTAATTTTCTGTAATAATTTGTAATTGTATTTGTGCTGCTTTTTCAAAAATGTTCCCCCCTCTTTTGCCTCTATTTTTTATATTTATTTATTTATTTATTTATGCATATACAAGAATGTACATAAGGAATGTGAGGATACAAATATGGTAATTACAGTCTTGTAAAGCCACTAGCACGCGCAGCGTTTCGGGCAGGTCCTTAATCTAAGAAAATTTTAAGGAGGTAAATACTTGCAAAATTATAGACAAAAAATGATAACAGAATACATGAAATGAAAAAAAAAGATGAGAGAAAATTGTAGGTACAGTATATTAAAGCACATAGGTAGCTAAGATTGATTGCAATGACAGCTTGAATGGTAGTTGACAAAAAAATTGGTAGGCATAATACAGCAGAAACAATATAAGATTGGTTGCAATGACAGCTTGAATGGTAGTTGACAAAAATTGGTAGTCACAATACAGCATATGGCTAGCACATAAAAGAAGACAGCAATGAACACAATGATAAGGTTGTTTGAAATTACATAAAAATTAGGAGATTGGGTAACACTAGGTACAGAGCAAATTTAAAGTTCAGTGTAGGAAACTAAGAAGATGAAGTTAGGTACTTTTTGGTTTTGCTTTTAAATAAGGCAAAAGTTTTACAGTTTTTCAATTCACTAGGGAGTGAGTTCCATAAACTAGGTCCCTTAATTTGCATAGAGTGTTTACACAGATTAAGTTTGACCCTGGGGATATCAAAGAGATATTTATTTCTGGTGTGGTGATAATGGGTCCTATTACATCTGTCCAGGGAGAGTTTCAGAGCATGGTTTGCATTTAAGAACAGGGTTTTGTAAATGTAGTTGACACAAGAGAATGTGTGGAGGGAGTTAATATTTAGCAAGTTTAGGGATTTAAACAAGGGAGCTGAGTGTTGTCTGAAAGCTGAGTTAGTTATCATTCTGATAGCAGATTTTTGCTGTGTGATGATGGGCTTAAGGTGGTTTGCAGTGGTAGACCCCCATGCACAGATACCATAATTAAGATAGGGGTAAATTAGTGCATAATATAGTGAGAGGAGAGCAGAGTTAGGAACATAATATCTGATTTTGGAGAGTATACCAACTGTCTTAGAGACTTTCTTTTTATGTGTTGAATGTGGGTGCTGAAGTTGAGTCTCTTGTCTAGGAATAGGCCAAGAAACTTGCCATCATCTTTATTACTGATGTTAATGTTGTCTATCTGTAGCTGAATTGCATTTGATGATAAGATGTAGTAAGATGTACTACATCTTCCAAATAAGATGTAGTAAGTCTTTTCGATGTTTAATGTTAGTTTGTTCGTTGACATCCATAAGTGGACTTTTTTTAATTCATTATTCACAACATTATTTAGTGTATGTGGGTTGAGGTTTGAATAGATAAGAGTAGTATCGTCAGCAAACAGTATAGGTTTGAGAATATTAGAGACATTAGGCAGATCGTTTATATATATAAGAAATAGAAGAGGTCCTAAGATGCTGCCCTGTGGCACTCCAATGGTAATTGGTAGAGTGGATGAAGTTGTATCATTGATGGTTACATATTGGTGTCTGTCACTAAGATAGGATCGGATGTAGTCAAGGGCAAGGCCTCGGAATCCATAATGATGGAGTTTAAGTAAGAGGTAGTTGTGATTAACAGTATCAAAGGCTTTTCTTAGGTCAATGAAGAGTCCAATCGGAAACTCATTTTTGTCAAGGGCTGAGTAGATAACGTCAAGGAGACTAATGATTGCATCGTTGGTGCTCTTTTGGGACCTGAAGCCAAACTGGCAGGGGCTGAGTATGTCGAATTTTACGAGGTAGGAATAGAGCTGTTTGTAAATAATTTTTTCAAATATTTTTGATAGAATGGGTAGATTTGATATTGGTCTATAATTGTTTATGTCCGCCGGATTGCCTCCTTTATGGACTGGCGTTACTCTTGCTTTTTTGAGGATATCAGGGAAGGTGTGACACTCTATAGATTTGTTGAACAGTAGTGCTATGGGTGGGGCAAGGGCATGGGAGGCTCTCTTGTACACAATGGACGGAATTTCACTGGTGTTCCCTGCCTTGGTTTTTAGAGAGTGTATGATGGACACAACATCTGCCGGGCTGATTGGTGAAAGGAGAAGAGAGTTTGGATAGCTGCCTGAGAGATATGTGTTAATATGTGTCTGAGTCTGTGGGATTTTACTGGCAAGATTAGCACCAACCGATGAAAAGAAACTATTAAATTCATTTGCCATTTCTAAATCAGTTGACGGTATATCCCCATCCTTGTAGAGTTTTATTTGGTTATGTGAGTGTTGCTTAGTTCCTAGGATACTAGAGATAGTTTTCCAAGTGTTTTTCATGTTGCCTTTTGCTTCATTGAATCTATTCACATAATATGCAAGTTTTGCCTTTCTTATGATACTGGTAAGCATTGATGAGTACCTTTTAGCTACTTCCTTTGAAACTAGGCCAATCCTAACTTTCTTCTCATATTCATGTTTCTTGTTGATTGAGTTGAGAATGCCACTTGTGAGCCATGGATTGTTTAATCTTTTGTCAGTTACTTGCTTTGTAAGAAGGGGACAATGAAGGTTGTAGAGGCTTAGAGTTTTGGAGAGGTTATATGTACTCATCACATCTTTTCTTTTTACCCATTAGTTTTAAGCTTTAGTCATTAATGTTTTTCCTGCCCGAAACGCTTTGCGTAATAGTGGCTTTAGGCATTGTATGTACTAGCTCTATCTATAAAGCCAACAAACTTTGTAAAATCTCTTTATGTATGTACCTTACCTAAATAAAAATTATTATTATTATTATTATTATTATAAAAATATGGATGGGTTCTACTCAAGAAGGATATCCTGCGGCATCCCAATTACAATTTATACTGCGAGTCGCAGTTAGGGAGGATGAAAATTATTGTTCTTATATGTTTGTGGAATTCTTCTCTAACATTGACCAAAGAAGCATTATGTTCTGTGAACATAATTTCGAGTACCCCCATAATCCGAATTACTTAATAGTGCCTATCACGGGATATAGGTCCTACGCCAAAGATCCTTTCATATTTCTGATGATGATACAAGCTTCCAAACAGGACCGAGAAGCTCTGAGAGAGATGATGATTGCAGACGGAATATCGATTCCATCGTCATGTAGCAAAGTTGATCAGGTAGCGCTGAAAAAACTTATGTCCCTCAAACAATATTTGAATCGGCATTATTATTTCAGGCACATGATGTTTAAAAATATATGTTGGGAATTAACCCGAGATGTGAGAGCTTACGAAGTATGGTTGAAAAATAAAAAATGGCTTAACTACGTTATTAATCACAGGATGATTCGACATAAACCCTATTGTTTACATGATGGATCTTTTTATAACGAGCCTCGTCAAGACATAATTTATAGGGACCCCAACTATGAAATTAGATCTTATTTTGGGGTACCCAAATATTGTAACGACTGGTGGGATAGAGATTCTATTTTTCGGGTTTTCAGTGATGGTGATAAAAAGTGTGATGATATATGTTGTATTAGGCTAGGAAACCTTGACCGAATTTATCATTTAAATTCTGCGAAGGGCGAATTAATTGCTCGAATAATGGCGAAAGACTATGGATCCTTTTATGTAGAAAAGGTAAACCGCGTACTTTTCATAACCCGAAATCCCCATCTCTTTATGGACCTCATTCAAACGGGAGAAAAGGAAGAAATCTGTCGTTTTATTATAGAAGACGAAGGTTTATCATCACCATCACCACCACCACCATGTAAAAGCACCTACAACCCAAATACTTTGCAGGCAATGTGCGTCAATCAATTTGTGAATTCCTTTTTGGATATTACTAGAATGGGATATTGGACCATGGCCTGCTTACGCAGAGCAATCAACACCAACTGTAATATTCATCATTTATTTAAACTCCAATTAATCAACGAAGTTCAACGGAATCTAATGATTAGAACGTGGGAAAGAGCAGTGGCAGATGAATTGAATCAAAACAATTTA